AAACTCAGAAACATAAAGAGTGAATCAGCTGATTCAGTGTTTGTGACAAAAACATTGGATCCTGGTTAATAAGTTGTATTTGTTTGTTTCTGTATTATTTTGTGTATCGTTCTTATGAGCTGTTGTTTTTTCAGTGAAATATTATTTAATTGTTTTAAGCTTTTTGTTGACTTTGAAGTGCTTAAGTTGATATTTTTGAACATTTAATTTGTTCGATTATTGTAGAGTGGATAAAACTGTCAAAGGCACAGCTGCTTCCAGCATGGCCAGAGGAGAGGTGGCCGAGCAGATGCACAACACACACAGCTCACAGGTTTGCATTTCTAGATATTGCAGATGTTGCAGAAATTGACAGTAAAGAACTCACAGACCCAGCGCTGTCTCCTGCCCCTGATTTATACACCACAACACAACGACAGGCATAACTCACACAAACGGGTAACATGAGGCTCAGATGCTTTGGACATGTTCATATATACTGGACACAGAATGATGAAGATGGAGCTGCAGGAAGGAGGAAAAGAGGAAAACCACAGAAAAGATTCACAGATGTAGTGAAAAAGGACACGACAAGTTCTGTTTGTTAGTTTGTTTTTTCTTTATTTGGTAAAGATTTAGAAATAAAGATAAGATCACATGTGTTGTTATGTTTGAATATAATATCAATGTTCTGTAATTACAAAAAGTTGTAAAATATTTCCAGAGTGAGACAGAGACTGTGCAGAGACTGTAGAAGGACAGAGCAGCAGCACAGCAGTCCAGATACACTGATGATCCTATGATCCAGAGGGACACACATTGATAATGCTGGACTCTACATTGTTTCTGACAGTGGAGCTGTTCTCAGAGCAGTTCACTCTGCAGCACTGACAGTAACTGCACTTCTTCTCATTCCTCTTTCAGTCACTGCTGAATGAAGCTCTCCTCTCCACTCCACTTCCCAGTAACATGGCCCAGTCAGAGCGTCTCTACACACAAGCTGCTGCTGCTTCAACCTCTCTGGATCATCAGGACACAGCTGCTCCTCTCTCAGCACACACACCGTCCTGTTTACCATCATCACCACCTGCAGAGAGAAGAAGGAAGAGCAGAGGAGATAAACGAGTGTTTCCAGAGACTCTTCATCAGCTGTCAGTCAGTGATGCAGCACATCCAGTATAAAGAGCAGCAGGCACTTCAGTGCTGGGACTGTACTAGGACTCATTGTTGCTTCACTTTTTCTAATCTTTGGATTTTTATTGAAGTTGATGAAAATGTTTTTCCCTCTTAGTTTGAGTTTGGACTTTCATTCATTAGAATAACCTTGGTGTGTCCACTCTGAGCTTTTTAGGAACCCCAACAACCACCCCAACAATCCAGATGGAATGTTTCCAGCTGTTAACTGGAGGAATTCCATCCAAACATCTGCTCTCACTAAATTCTTCCTCACCTACAGACTGTGTTCTTCATTGCTTTAAACTTGGAAATGAATGCAGTCATTGGTCTGCGTGCTGCTTTGTTAAGAGAGCTGATTGGCTGTTGACAGTGTTTGATCAGAGCGTGTCAGCCGTTACTATGGTGACCATAAAGGTGAGAAACAGGAAGTGTTTGTGTCCAATCCTGAAGCCTTTCACCATTCTCCTCTCACAGGTTCACTGAGAAGCTGCAGCTTTACAGGAAACACTGGATCTTTGTTTCATACTGACTGTGTTTAGTACAATCATGCTGACAGCACCACCCACTCACTCCTACACTCTACTGACCTCAGAGTCTCAAGTCTGCAGTCTGGACTGCAGATCAGATCAGACAGCTGCTTTACATCCGAATCCTGCAGGTTGTTGTACTTCAGGTCCAGCACTGTCAGGTTGGAGGGGTTGGACTTCAGCACTGCTTCCAGATAATCACAGATGATCTTTGACAAATCACAGTTCCACAATCTGTATAAAGAATGAAAGATGGAAGTTTATTAGATAAAGTGTGTGCTTGAAATCATTCAGCATTTCATAATCTGTTCAGAGCTGAAGAAGGTTCCAAATGTAGAAGTTTAGAAAATGGAAACTCCAAAAAGCTGAAGCCAACCAGAAGCAGCTCCAAGGACAATGACTTGGACCTTTTTGAGCGGGAGCATGCGGTTCTCGCAGAGTTTGAGGACAAGCTCCGATGGAAGTCATGGCTGATCCCCCACTATGACCAGGTGTTTTGGGGAACACTTCTGGCTCTCGGGGGCACCCAGACCTGCCAGAACAGCCTGTCACTCCCCCAGCAAACAACCCTTCAGTCTCAGTGTCACCTTCCAAGAACAAGCAACATCCACGTCGGCGTGGCAACGATTGGTAGCTGGAGGTTGGTGAAAATCTTATTTCGTCTCAAGTCCCTTCTGTAACATAGGTGAGTCACTGTGTTTTGGCACCTTATGATCCTTCTAAGACTGAGATAAATACTGATGTCCCGGTTTTGATACCGGTTATGAAAAGACTTCTCATGTTTTTGAAATGTCCAGCATGGAGAATAGTCTGGCCATTCCACTCACAAAAATAAAGGCTGTCATTGAGAAGGATTTTGTGAACACTTATGCTCTGACAGATTCTGGTATCATAAGGTATGATCATGACATTTCAATGGACAATGATGTCACCAGTGTTTTTCATGTGGCTGAACTGGCACCTCTGTCACCCACTTTTAGGGCTCTAAAGACTGTTTGCACTGGAGATCCTTGCCGTGAGGCTCAGCTGAGCCCCTGTGGGACTGAGAACCAGGCCAGGTTTTATCCCGAGGCTTAGTTGGAGGAATCAGTTTTTTTTGGACCCCCCTAAAGAGCCTGTTGCAGTTTCCATGAGGGTCACTGGGCAGTTTGTACCTCTTTCAGTGTCAGCCAGGAGTTCCGGTGAATCCAGTCAGCAACTTCTGGAAAATCAGCTGAAATCATCCAGCCTCCTCACGTTTCCATTGAAGACTCAGGAGAACCACTCCAGCACTAATCGGCTTCCACTCCGCCATCAGCCTCCGCTGAGTCCTCTGGAGAGCTTGCCCAGCTGTCTGTGGTTACTACGCTGCCACCAGCTTCACCTCTGCCAGAGGTCTCCGTACCTGCTGGTCTTGCACCTGTTTCTGACTGCAATTCAGGAGAGCCTGTCAAGCATCCTCCCACATTGCCAGAGGCTCAACTGCCACCTGTATCTGGTATGCTCTGTTCAGCTTTGCTACCTGCACCTGCCAGCTCTGAATCTCATCTGCTGGTCCCCATCTCAGCCAGAGGACAACACCTCCCCTGGTCCCTCCATGCCTCAGCTACAGGAGAGTGCATCGCCTAGTTCTGCCACGACCAAGCCAGAGGTTGACGCCACGCCCAGTCTTGTCTGGACTCAGCCAGAGGTCAACGCCACGCCCGGTCTTGACCAACTAGCCACGTCCATGCCTGGTCTTGTCTCGACTGCCAAGCCATGTCCATGTCCGGCACCTGCAAAGCCGCCCGAGGGCCTTTGCAAACGCCCACACCACCGTTGACTGCCAGAACAGCCACCTGAGCACCTCCATACACACCCACATCATCGGCCAAGTCTCCTGATCTGCTCGGTCACTGCCGTTGGACCAGAAGCCGGCATCCTAAATGGTGTCAGCACTGCAGGTTTGAGCATGGTCGGTCCCTTGAATTTGGAACAGTGGACTTCTGTGCAATTGACTTCCAGGTTGACAGCCTGAACTATGTTTTGCACTCTTGTGCCTTTGTTTTCGGACTTGGTGCTCCAGTTTTTGTTTGGCCGGGCCCAAAGTCCAATCGATGTAAATCTAATGGATAGCTTTTCTTCTTCTTTGAAGGACTGAAATGTTGAACTTTGTTCTGCTGCAGTCAATAGACTAAACCAGAGAGGAAGACTCAGACTTTACCATGAAGATCCTCAATGTGGATCAGTATAATATCAGCCTTATGTGTGGAGTTTAGTGTCAGGACAAAATTTTCATCATATCCATCTCAGCACAACTAAAACATGCTGACTGACCTCAGAGTTTCAAGTCCACATCCTGGACTCTCCAGAAGACCACACAGATGCAGCACTCCTGAATCCTGCAGGTTGTTCCCACTCAGGTCCAGCTCTCTCAGATGGTAGGGGTTGGACTTCAGTGCTGCTGCTAAATAATCACAGCTGAACTCTGACAAATCACAGCGCTTCAATCTGTATAAAGAATGAAAGATGTAAGTTTATTAGACAAATTGTGAGCTTGAAATCATTCAGTGTTTCATAATCTGTTCAGAGCCGAAGAAGGTTCAGAATGTAGAAGTTTAGAAAATGGAAACTCCAAACAGCTGAAATCAACAGAAAGCAGCTTCAAACAGGAAACTGTGCAGAGGTTTAAGACTATATGCTCCGATGCAGCCAGTTTGATTTTGTGATTTTGGGAAAGGTATGGTAGCTCTGAGAGTCACACTGATGAGGTTTTTTCGTGTAAATGGTATCAAAGAGAGAAAAAGCCCTGGTCCTGATGCTTTGGAAGGGAAATGATGGAAGCGTACTGTGAGGAACTGACTGGGAGATTTTCATACATTTTCCAGTCCAACTTGGAACAACAGAAAGTTTACAGCATATAGAAACAAAGGTTAAGTGTCCTATGGCATTCAGTGATGATGGTCCTGTGGCCCCACCACCTCCACCTCGTTTTAAAGGAACTAACTGTAATCTGAAGCTTCAAATGGAACTAAGACTTTCTCCACTAGGTGGCAGTGTCTGATGAGAAAGTGTTAGTGGAGCTGGCCTGGAGTCAGAAACAGGAAGATGCAGGATTTGGGCTGAAATGGGGAAAAGTGGTTAGCACTAGTGCCTTAAAGCAAGAAGGTTGTAGGTTGAAGCTTGTTGGTCAGCTGGGCCTTTCTGTGGAGGTTGGATGTTCTCCCACAGTCCAATGAAATGCTGTTTAGGTTCATTGGTGCTTCTAAATTGGCTGTATGTTTGGATGTGAGAGAGTGCTTCTCTGCCTCTCTCTGTTGGCTCTGTGATGGACTGCTCTCCTGTGCAGGTAGACCACACCTCTTGCCCTATGACAGCTAGGGCAAAGGCTGCAGCCCTGTGAGCCTAAGCTGAATAAACAGTTAACAAAAATGATCCATAGATGGCCTGAAATCCCCCAGTTAGCAGTTTGGTAGATAGCTATGACATGCTAATCCCATCCGGCAGCTGTATTCTAACTGTAAACTGATCCCTGCTTAGCCAAAGCACCGGCACTTTTTCATATACAAATTACAACCTTTAATAGAAACCCATTGGTCAGCAACTTATTAGTCTGCTATTAGCTTCATTACAAAGAAAAGTGATAGAAATGAACAGAAGATTCATAAAGAATAAAGAGAAATGTGAAGCTTTAAAGGCTTTGAAGTGCTTCAGATGATCTCTGTCCACTTCTGTCCACTCATTCATTCATGTAAGCTATCTAATGCAGCTTTGATCTTCAGAGTCTGCTTTATAAAACTAATTCTAACCCTGACTGTCAGAGTGTTCCTCCTTCTCTTTCCCAACATTCATGCTGGCAGTGGAGGAGATTTGGATGTTGGACTAGATAATGTTGTATGTTTTGTGTTGGACTGCTGTCTGTAAAGCAAACACCATTTTGGTTTGGATTTCAGTGTCAGACAAACTTTAAGGTGGAATGAAGAATTTCAGAGTTTCACAGTGAATTATCCAGTGGAGGATTTTTCCTCTTTGAAGGTTTGAAATGTGAACATTGTTCTGCTGCAGTCAATGGACTAAACCAGGGAAGAAGAAAACAGACTTTACCATGAAGATCCTCAGTGTGGATCAGTATAATATCAGCCTGATGTCTGCAATTTAGTGTCAGCACAACTTTCACATCATATTCATCTCAGCACAACTAAAACATGCTGACTGACCTCAGAGTTTCAAGTCCACATCCTGGACTCTCCAGGAAACCACACAGCTGCTTCACTCCTGAATCCTGCAGGTTGTTCTTAGTCCAGGACCACTCATTACTCATGTCCAGCTCTCTCAGCTTGGAGGGGTTTGACTTCAGGGCTGCTGCCAGATAATCACAGCTGATCTTTGATAAACTACAATCCTTCAATCTGTATAAAGAATTAAAGATGTATGTTCATTAGACAAAGTGTGTGCTTGTTATCATTCAGTGTTTCATAATCTGTTCACAGCTGAAGAAGGTTCAGAATGTAGAAGTTTGAAAAATGAAAACTCCAAACAACTGAAACCAACAGGAAGCAACTTCAAAAAAAAAACAAAAAACAAAAAAAAAACCACACAACAAGAGAAATCAATCTGTTTTTCACATTAAAGTCGTACATTTCTCTTGAAAACATGAAAAAGAGTTGGAAAAAGTCGTGTTTTTCATTCCACGAAACACATGGCTTCACTTTTATAGGTCATGTGTGAAAGAAATGGACATATTTGAAGTCCAACAACACCTTTTTCCAGTCACATCATTAAAGACGACAAATTGCAATTTATTTTCATTCCAACAAGTCATCTTCTGACCTGGACTGACAACACTGGTCTCTTTGTGCAGCTGGCTGTGACACCAGTGGTCAGGGACCGTCGAGAAAGTGCAACACTGAAAGAACATCACACACAAATTTGCTTCCAGCACTTTCACACAAACATCTACTATCATTATTTTCACCAAACTCTTTGGAGTCCTTTACTGGAAATTCAAATGTGATTCAAAAGGGTCAAGGACCCGGGCGCAACGCTCATAGTAGCAGGAGACTTTAACAAAGCAAACCTCGGATAAGTCATGCCGATCATTTACTAACAGGTCATGTGTCTGACGAGGGGGGATAGAACCTCTGACCATTGCATACAAGCATAGCTGTTGTCATGGTACGGCTGTCTGCAGGCAGGAGAAGATGACCCAAACACAGGACTCATTGAGGTAAAATGTGAACACAAAAACACTGCTTTATTGCAGGCTTGGAAGTAATACGAAATAATATCAAACTAAACTGGGAAAACCTAAGAATATAAACTCACGAGGAAACACACAGCATGATGGTGAACCGATGTTAAAGGAACAGGTAGACACAGCTGGAACTAATTAGGCAAGACAAGACAAGGAAGTAAAACAGAATACACTAACATGAGACAAGACCTTCAAATTGAAATAGGAAACATACACTGACAGAACTCAGACACTGACACAGAACAATTGGGACACTCAACCAAAATCTAAGAACTAACAAACACATCAAGAAATCAAAGATTAATAACACAAGACAGAAAATACTGGGTCACCGATCCAGGACCGTGACAGCTACAAAGCTGTTTCACACCTGGCTTTTGGGAAGTCTGACCACAATGCCATCTTCCTCATTCCTCAGTATAATCAAAACACAGAGGGATGAAGCAACCATGAGGGAGGTGAAATGCTGGTCTGCCCAATCAGAAGTGTGGAGATCAGGGAAATATTTTACTGCTACTATTCATAACCATCATCATTACCATTACATTAATTATCATTTCATTAAAGCAGTTATTCAATAGATTACACATGTTCTTAGTTAAGTCTATTACACCTATCACAGAGAGCTTCTGTCTGGTAAAAGGTTAGAAGCATCGACGGGTGGGGTGAGGCTGAGTGCGTTGGAGGTCGAGACATACATGCACAAACAGTAGTTAGACTCATATTTAGGTAAGAGTTCAAATAACAGTTTGCAAAAGCTTGTGACTGCAAAATTGTGTCTGCCTAAGGGACAGTTTGTTCCAGGAGATAAGCGAGAGTTAGAAGATTAATAGGAAGCACCTGGCCTCGAGACGGAGAAGATGTCCTTTTGAATGTGTCAAAAGTCGTCAACAGAACATTTGTTGTTTTTGAAACTTATGCATGAATTGTATCGATGCTGTCGGTGGGCAGTGTTCATCTCCCCACGTGTGTGTTCATTAAAATCATTGTTTGACCGAAGCTCTTCTGGACCATTATTGTTTTTATGCTCACCCTCAATATCTGAACCCGTAACATTTTGGAGGCTCGTCCGGTGAATTGCGGAGGGAGTGAGTTTGGAGGTTTGGATGGAGAAATCCGGGGTCCAGAGGGCGGTCAGACGCGCAGACACGATCCGGTGATCGAACTGAGTGGACAAAGGCCGGCCTATTTAAAAGGTGAGGCACATACCTGTTTAATTATTTCCAAAGTGTGCCAAATTGGACATTGAAAATTAAAGTATACTCACTAAATCACTGGTAAAGGTCTGTGTTGATTTTGGTGGAAGCTTCATGAAGTTTGAAAGTGACCGTACTGAGAATTTAAAGCAGTTGGGTTGCTGAATTTAGTTAGTTTAGTGAATTTAGTATAATAGGTAATTGGTGAATTAAAATTAAATTTTTTAGAACGGGACTACGGGAGTTCTAAGAAGTGCATTGCTCAGAGGTAACGCTTTCCAATGCCACGGACGCGTAGGCATTGTCCTGTATGAGGGATAGTCAGTTCGCCACTGTGGAGCTTGGGGCACTCCAGAAAGGCTAGTGACCAGGTCACTTTCTACTGTTCAGGACAGTAGGTTGCGCTTTTTTGGCCAGCAGAAGTCGGATTTCGGGCATGAAACATTACCTTAAAACTTCAGGGAAAGCCTTGACTGTGAAATGCCAAAAATAGAGCTTCAGGCAAAGTTTGGGTTGGTTGACGCTTTTAAATTCAGTTAGGGCACTAGAAATCGAGCCCCCGTCTGGGATGGATACTGGTTAAATTGATCGCAAAAAACTCAGGGAGTTTATCGGTTGGAGCGTTACTTTAAATTTGTCGAAATTGTGTACGTGTTAAGCTGTCAGGCCTGAGAGTGCTTGTAAATATAAGACGTCTTTGTAATATAAAATAAGAGATCTGTGTGTGAAAGATGTCTGTGATCCAGTGCTGAGGCTATTTTTAGACTGCGTGTGTGTGTGTGAAAATGTAAATACAGTGAATTTCCTAAGGGTGTTTGTGTGTGTTTTTATGGATAATTGCTACTGGTTTTATACATTCATATTGAGGAGCGGATGATTGTGGCTGAGTGTGTGGATAGATAACGTGAAAACGGCTTTGCAGCTGCTGGGTGTGAGTAGCTGTGTGTGTGTGTGTGTGTGTGACAGGAACTCTGCATGCCCATAAAAAGGCAACTGCCTGACTGTGTGAAGTATGCACCCAAGGAGAGCGAGAGTAAAATCTAGGCAGATGAAGCGAATGGATGTTTTAAGAAAAATACTAATTGAATGTTTTAGTGTGTTAACCCTTTAAGACCTACCATAGAACCAAGTCCGCGAGAGCTTATATTATATTTTTACATGTTGTAGTGCCATTTTTGGGAGCATTTCAAGTTGCTATACATCAATACAACCATTACAGCCTAAATGTTAATAATATGCATGCATTAAGTGCATAGTAATTACATAAATTGCAAAAAAGTGCAATAAACTACAAAACAAATTGAAAATCGTTTTTGCTTTTTTAACATATATTTCTAGTTAGAGAAATTTAAGAGGCTTATCCCTCAAAACTGTAAATACAAAAAAGTTGCAAAATAGTTTCCCACCACAGGAAATTTATTTTGAGTGTCTTCATAGTTTTATTTTTGAAATACACCAATTTCTATACACTGCAGGAAAAACGAAAATAAATATAATGCAAATTTGCAAAAAAACAGCATATGCATCAAAATAAACTATTTCCAGCAGTGCAATATTAGTCCTAAGCATCCCAGAAACGACACAAAGTCATAAAGTCAAACATAACTTTTAAAAACACCAGTATAAGCTCATGAGGCCTTGATGGTAAAAAACTACATTTCCGCGAAAATTACGTCACTTCCGGTTTCGGGCAGGTCATGGCGGACATGCGATAGTTCGTGCTGATGGACGTAGGAAGTGTTACGAACAGCTGATCGGATCGGCAAAGCGTGTTTCTGGAATATTATGTTTTTGTTGCTGCAAGTGCTTTTTATGCAGTTTTTGCAAAGCTATATGTGGAAGGAAAATGTGACCTAGGACAACTCCTCCGGTTTCATATGCAAAAAAATTTATTGCGCTAGCTCACGTGGTTGCAGTGGTACCAGGATTTAAAAATGGTTACACAAAACGGAGCGTGCCCGCTCTGACCGGTTTTAAAGGGTTAATACAGGTGGATTTCTCTCAACCTGGAAACTCGAGTACAGCGGCAAAAGGATAGATTAACAGAATTGGGACGACAAACAGGCCAGGCTTTGGCTTAAAATTTTACAGCTTGACCTCTCACTTTGTCCCCACCCTGAGAAGAAGCTTAAAGGACAATGAATCTCCTGAGGAAGACCGACAGAACACCGTGGACTTGAAGAGTTAACAGCAGGCAAAAAACAATGCAACTGACCTATAACACTGAAGGGTCAAGCAGCAGCATGTATGAACACCACTGATGGAACATGAGCTTTGAATCACAAGCTGGAAACCAGCCATCCTGGGAGTTGACCTACAAGCAAAGACCGAAAAGATCAACGGAGAAGAAACAGAGACAGCTGAGTTTGGACTGTATTTGCTGGAGATTTCAAGGCCACACAGGACACTGTGAGAAGAGAGGGATGGGGACCAGTCAGAGGTCAAGCCCGGATGAGTTCGAGTGCAAACGTACAGGATATAATTGGATAGAAATTGAAGGCTGAACTTATGATGGTTTATAGATGTCCACCACGTCACAACAAAGAGGTAAAAATAAAGAGAGCAACTAACTAACAATTACATTAATAAATAGAAAAAACACATATACAAGTTGTTACATGTGAAACTATTGTTGGAAAGAATCAGAAGTGAGACAGCTTGAATCCACAGCTCAGTGCAAAGATGCATGAATTAAACCTGATTATAAAAATACATATGCAATGAAGACACGCTTACACTTATATACATGGCATAAATTGGGATTTCTGACCAGAGAGAGAGAGAAACTGGTCGGTTGGGCACTGATGATAGTAATGAAAATGTCTCAGTTTTGGTATCTGTAGGTGCAAGCAGACCTGGACCAATTTTCCACATGCAGCAGTCGGAAGAAAGTTATAGGTTACCATCACTGGAAATGTTCAGGCAACTTTCTGGCTGAATTGTTGATAGCACCATGTGCCCCTCAATCTCACAAGCAAGCTCTAACTCCTGGCTGAAGACAAGGAATGCTGTTATTTAAGGTGGGAAATCAAAATTTGGGTTAGCAATCTTGGGAAAAATACTGACTGCTTATGTTGGAGAATTGCAAAGGAGTCTGAAACACTGCAAAAGAAACTTATAAAAATCACACACACAACCAGAGAAATGTGAGAGGAAGGCACCTGTTAAGGAAATGCCTTGTTTGAGAAAAAAAAAAAAAAAACCTACAAAAAAAAAAAAAAAAAAAAGATGAAGAAACAGCTGACACAGGGCCTGGCCCGGTGTTTCTCCCCTCTTTGAA